TTTGGAATAAACTACTTGAAGTATTTAGGTTAGTAAATAAAAACACCAAGTTAATATGGGCTATTTTAAGACCAAATATGAAATATAAAACTTTGGCCATCTGAATGCTTTCTAGTGGCTGGCCAATAGGATTTTTAGTTGAATCACTACAGAAAATTCAGCACAAAATATTATCAGATTTAACCACCCACAGAGTATAGTGTTGTTACTAGTTTATTAGGCTAAATCAAAGGTTACAGCATCTCTTTTTCTGCACTGATTTTCAGCCCAGAGGGGTAAAGTTTTAAAATGATAAAATTTTAGAAAAAAAAAAAGCACGGACATAATAAAGACATAATACAGAAATAGTTTATTTAGAAAAGTAAAACTATTGCATAGTTATGCATGCATTTTTAGCTTTTAAATTGTTAGAGAATATCTCTGACATTTCAAGAATGAAACCAGAAGAGGAACTGTTGGGGTCTGAGGTCCCCATGGAAGAAAGACCTGTAGTCAAGTACAGTATCAAGGTATCCTCCAGAAAGCCCAAAACATAGATCGTGGGTGGCATGGCTGGATACTACTACCTAGCAGACAACCTTTTCAGAGCCTACACAGGTTACATTTGGTGATAATAAGTGTTTAGGAATTCCTGTCTTTTTTTACCTGTTCTGACTTAGTGTGTCTTATCTTGCAAATGAGATGATCTTATTTAGGGGTTTTCAGTGCAGTCTCCAGAAATAGGAACTTGTTAGAAATACACCACCTAGGAACTTATTAGAAATGCAAATTCACTTGGACAAAGATCCACTATAAGTCAGCAATAGTAGAGGTGGGCCCAATAATCTTTTTTAAAGCCTGTGTTTATGATGCTTGCTAAAGTTAAAAAAAGAGCTGACTTAAATTAAGTTGATCAGTGTAAGCTTCTTGATAATCATATCAAAGAGCTCAAAGAGCTCCTTTCCCAGTGCCTGATTCATAGTGTGCTCTCAATGTGACCCTGAGAATATAAAATATATTTCATTTCTTATGCAACAATCTGTGATGTTTACTATCACATTTTATTCTCTACTTTTTTCACTGTATATTAGGAACTAGTAGTTGCCTTTGCAGATTATTCATTTTCTTTCCCTTTGAGACTAACACTTCAGCCTTTCACTTAATATGAAAGAAAGGTCATCTTCAAAGAAAATTGTTGTCTGATGCTTCAGTTATTTGATTCTCTAGAGAGTCACTGAGAAGCAAAGTTGATTCATGCCAATCATTTCTTTCCTATTTTTAAAGAAGCATAATCACTTCACTGTCAATAATGATTAGTGGAATCTAGTCTCTGCTTCAGGACCAGCCAAAAGTTCAGTGGCCAAGAGTTTGTTTTTTTAGGACTTCTAAATTGGCTCTAAATCTGCTTAGGCAGCAGTTTCATCCAAGGGCTTTAATATTCTCTGCTTAAAGAAATGTGAAAATAAGGAAAAATCCATTGTAAAGAAAGTTAAAGTGCAACAGGGTTGAGGAGAGAAATTATGACATGTGAATTCATAGGTATTGTATACTCAGTTATTTGTGATGTGTGAAATCAAGGGTAATTATGTGTTTCACATTCAGTTAGATTCACCATGGTCTAATCCTCTTTTGTATCTTGTTAGGCTGAAGGAAGACCCAAGTGGATTGAATATATCATCCTTGCATGTGATATCTAAAATCTAGATCTTGGGGAAGAATTTTCTCAGGGTAGGGACACTAAAAATAAGAGTCAAGATGTGGAGTTGGGCATGTCCCTATGGAAATGAGATAGGTGATTCTGAGTAAACCTTGAAATTCAGGGATCTCTGAGATTTGGGGGAAGCTCTGCATGGAGCAAGGAAGAGAGGTAGCCATGGTCAAGGGATGCTGAGAATCTAGGAAGATTTGGAAGTCTGCTGGGGGCAGAAAGGAGGGAGGTTCATAGGGAGTCAGAGGTCTAAATAACTATAGGACCTCCTTAGGAAGTATTAGGGGAAATAAATGGGAAAGTGCTTCTAGGATAGAATTCAGTTGAATGGTGTTAACCACTGCCTGGCCAGATTTTTTTCCTGAATGAAGTTAGCTATTTCATCATATATTCTGCATTATTTGCTTGACTGATAGCTCTGAGTTTCTGAATAGAACTGCTCAGCTTTGTTCCCCAGGTTCTGGTGTATTCATTCGTTCAGAGAGGTATTCAAATATGGGGGAGGATTAGTCTCTAGAACCCAGATTCTGGGAAGCAGCCTATCAAGACCTGCATTTTGAAGTGTCCACACTGATTGAATGCCTTTCAGTGTTAGCCACCTTGGAGATGCCAGGGATCCGGTAATGATCAAGAAAGGGTTTCTATCCTTAGGGAGCTATGAGCCTAGTGAAGGTGATAGATATCTAAACAACTTATTATATAATTCAGTGACATGATCGTTGTAGGTATAGAATATTATATAAGACTCTAAATGCTTTTTCTGCCTGAGAAAGTTAATTAAGGCTACTCAAAATTGATATTATAGCTAGGCCAGATAGTGAAGAGTGCAAGGGACATTGCAAATAAAAGGACAGTGTATAAAAAAAGTACTGTGCTTTCAGGAAATGACAAGCAGTGTGTTTTTGCAGCAGCATAAAATGCCTGAGGGTAAGAGGTGGAGTTAAAATTGGACAGATGGTATGGAATTAGATCACAAAGGACCTGAGTGTGATTTTGCTAGGGGGAATAGGGAACAGAGTTTTACACAACGGAGTGACATGGTCAGATTCAGTTTAGAACCATCATTCTGTCTCCATTAAGACAGCGTGAATCTGAAAGAGAACAGAGGTCAGATTTTAGGGTAGAACCTTGGTCAGGCCTGAATCAGGGTCATTGCCAAGATGGTAGAGAAGCAAGGTTTTAACTGTTAGAGGCTTGAATCTGTCATGCTGACTTCTTTTTCTTACTACTGCTCCCATCTTCTTGGGTGTTTTTATAGTTGATGCTCTGATAATTTTTACCTCTATGGTTGCTTTAGGTGGAATAGATAGAACTTAAGCCTATATTTTGATCTATATGGACCTTTCTCAATCTCAAAGATTTTATCATACTTTCCTAAGGTAAGCATGAAACTAAACCTAATTATAAAGAACTCACTGTTAGTATATTAATAAGTAAAGTCTGTACTCAGATACCATCTCTTATGATGAGTAATATTCTTTGAACTTAGCACATAATTTATGTGGCCTCCATCAAATGCAGTAATTCATTCATGAAAGTTTTATTGACATTTGTTACTAGAAGCTGTTGTTAGCATCTCTGAAAGGCAGCCAAAAAGTATTAGATATCCTTTTGCAGAATTGACCAATCCTTCTTTAGTCTCTATAGCCATAAACCAAGAAGTTTTTTGAAAGCATTTGATTCATTCATCCATTCACTTACTCATCATCTGTTAGTCCATTAGTCAAAAAATATTTGTTAAGCACCTACTATGTGAAGATAATAATGACATGAACACCACATTAGGTGGAAACAAGAATAGCACAGAACATTCTAGGTGGGACTCATGGTTCTCAGAAATCCCAGCAAATAAAAATGTCCTCAGAACCTTGCACAGTCTTTAATATTCAGAATATTTTTCATTCATTCTTGGATTAGAAGGGAGGGTTTTAGCTTCTTATATAACCTAAGAGTTTTATCTCTAACCTCATTTGCCTCTGGTAGTTACTTGAAATGTTGTTCAYTGGACTCTGTACTATGACACTATATTCACCAGGTCCCAGTAATTTCAGGAGATAAACAACAAAAGTTTTACCATTATCTATCTGTAGTATTAGTCATGGTCAAAAAGGGACTAGATAGTCTGCTGTCCTAGTGGGATAGGAAAATATGGAGCCTCCCCTGCACCCCCTTTTCTCTCCCAAGATCAATTGATGAATTTTTTTTTTAGAATTCAGCTAGCTAGTTGTTTTTATTAATGTCTAAGGGTCAACAGACTGTCTACATGTGCAAGTATATTTTAATCTCTTCTTCCTTAAGAGCCTTTCTTTTAATTTGAAAGTCCTTTTCTCCCCCTTCTGCTCTTTTGTGGAAAGAGCATTTGCTATAAGCCAGATTATTTGAGTCTAAAGCATTCCTGGCCTTTAGAAGCTTATAATCTGGTTAGATGATATAGTTACAAGGTTTAGAAGTTAAATTATAATACAAAGTAATAAGAGGTAAAATACCAAACTTTTTGATAATGATTAAAKGATTTCAGAGGAGACAACATATGTWCTAAAGTAATTAGGGAAGATCTGTAGGGACTTTTTTGTTTTTTACGAATAGTCATCCTCATGGTCCTATAGGATACAAGATTCACTCTCTCTAAAATAGTAGTTTTCAAATTTAAGAATGTATAAAAAGTACCCAAGTACTGGGAAAAAGTGCAAATTTCTGATGCAACCTGAAAAATTCTAATTGTAGGTCTAGAAATCAGTATTTTTAATAAGCACCCCATATGATTTTTACATACATTGAGAATTTCTTTACTTTTAGGACTACTACTCTGGAAATTTGATTAGTTGTTAAATGCTATTTCTGCCCAGGGATTGTGCTAGATCTGGCAGTTTTAGTGAACCATGGGTTATGTGTGATTAGAAAGGACTCTGTGCCCATGGAATAATTAAAGCAACTTTCTCTCTTCTTTTAGGAAATCTATCATCCATAGGCCAAGAAGAACAACCCAAGGACTCTATTTTTGAAGGCCATTAAAGTTTAGATAAGTCTAGAGGAGAGATTAGAGATCAACCCACTTGATGCATTATTAGAAAGATTCATGGTACTGATTACTTCCTTTAGCATTTGACTCTTGGTCCTTTTGTTGCAAGCTCCTTATTCCTGAGAAACTGGCTGTGGTCACCATAGTGGGTCAAAGAAAACCCTTAGTGGCAGAGGTTGGGAATTACCATCCTCCAAACCCAAGCGTGTCACTGATGTCTTGAACATATTACCAGATACTCATGATACATAGGATAGACTTCACCCTTGGGAGAATGACCTTCTGAAAAGAAGTATGGAATCATCATTAGAGCCATTAGAGGGGACATCTCAAAGTCATATAGATAAGATTTCACAAGATCCATCTGTGCTCCCAGTCCAGAGAGGAAAGCAAGACCCACGTCCAAAAAAGCATAGGCATCCTAAGAAGGGTGAAAGGACAAAGAGAATGAAAAAGAGAAAGAAGAAGGAGAAAATGAAGGCCCAGTGCCCCCCGAGTCTTCCAACACCTTTGGCACCACCACAAAGAGAAGAAGATGAAACTACAGATAAAACACCAGCCCTACACAGTGCCCAAAATGATTCTGYCTTTCACCATGAGGTAGGAATTAGGCATGGGTTGGCAAGATCCTGGGCTTGTTACTATTCCATAAGAAAAAATGACAGCTTCTCATCTGACAGGAGGATTTAGGGGTTAAGATCTTGAGACACAAATTGGGATTCTTGGGCCCAGATGGAATATGAAAGAACTCACTCAGAGATCATGTCATTATGTATGGGTCTCAGTTTTGAGAGTTTTAAATTTATGTCTTCTACTTGCAGGACAGGGTACAGAGACAGCAGGACAAGAGTCCCTGTGTGATGGATCTGGAATGTCAGATCCAGCCCTGTGAGCTCTCAGTGGCTCAGGAACCTGGGCCACCTTCACCTGCAGTGACATCCTTGGCATCACCACCACCCTGCTTTGGTCGTTTCCTAAGCTGTGTCTGTCAGACCTTCTCAAAATCTAGGAAAAGGAAACTTTGCAGAAGAAAGAGCAGCAACCAAGATGAAACAGGAGGTGATGCTAAAGTTCCAAGACCTGGTCGGCTAAGTGACCTGGGCCAAAACAAAGTGTAACCTCACCAAAGCCTGTAGCAAGATGGAATTGATATAGCTTCTGCTCATGTTTGGTTTTATAGTTTTTTCTATATGTCATTGTTCTTATTAGTTGGCTTTAACTCTATCAAATAGAGTTCAACTCTATCAAACTGCTTTTATGCTGAGATTCACAAGCTTAAAGAGGAAGTAAAAACAAAGTAAAAGTAACTTTGAGGGTTTTAACTCTATACCCAGTGATGGGATTACTTCCTTCTTCCTTCACATTAGTCTGAAGTGGGATTCACTTTTGTGTTTACCAAAATTCAAGTGTATTTCACTCATGTATTCAGCCAACTTAATTTTGCCTGATTTCTCTGAGAATGGGAGGCCATACAAATCTGTCATTTTGAGTAGTTTCCTCCAATATCAACAACCATGTTGCTACTCCTCATACTCGGCTTCTCTCCTTCTCTTTTACTTTTGGCTGGAGATTTATTTTGCATTTTAAACCTTCAGTTGCTTGGTTGAAATTCTGCCACTTATTATCTGACTTGAATAACCCTAAGGGTATGGTGGCTGTTTCTGTTCTCCAATGGATACAACTATGTTCTCAGAATTCTATCTCTAACCAGTGTTTGTTTTCCTTTTGGCCACTTGTTAGTAAGACACTTGGTTTTTCCTTCTGATGTGTGTCTTTGATATTTTTAAAAAATTCGTGTGTATTGAAAACAGTCACCCAAGGAAGTGTTCCTTCCTTGTCATTTTTTAGTCAGGCTTTCACAGAACTTTGAGTTTCTTGTGAGAATMCTAAAGAAGATAAACTTTTCTTAAAAAGTTAAAGGTCATTTCATTTACCTTTATTCTGTTGTGTTCGGTTAATCTTCTTGCTAGGATATAAAATAAGACTTCAGTTTATTTGGTGCTGGGGTTTGAACCTAGGATACTAACTAAGCAGGTGCTCTACCACTGGCCATATCCTCAGCCCAAAATAGAAGTTTAAATTAATCTTATACCTTCTTTTGAGAAAGTATGTTTAAGAAAATTTAGGAGATTCCCTGTAGTTTCCATTACCTGTTATTTACTATGTATCCCAGTTTATCAACTCATATAAGAAAAATAAAAATATAAATATAAATAAATATGTGTTGAAAATATCCGAGTAAGAGGTAGTATACTTTATTTTCTTTGATTCTTAGCACTGACCCTACAGATTATTACACTAAAATTGGAGACATCACCTGTTTGTTTTGTTTCTTTCTTGCCTGGAATAGGGCTTTGCACTGTTGGAGGAATGTGTTGCTTGGAAAGAGAATGACTTGTAGGAATGGTGGTAAAATTCCTTAACATTTCCTTGGAGGTATTATGTACAAACAAACTTTGAATAAGTCTTGTGGTTTTGTGAGGCTCTCAAATGAGAATCAGAAATTTTGCAAAAGGTTATATTCAGTACTTAGAATAAAATGGGACTCCTTTTATATTGTCTTGCTTTAATACTTTTAGTTATCTAAAAAGTGGTTGATTTGTCATTTTATAGAGTTTTAGCTGAGCTAGTTATCCATCATAAATAGGCTCAGACTATTATATAATATAATTCAAATTATCTAAGTTTAGTATTTATGAATATAGTTTCTCAGTTTAATGCAAAAGAAGTGTGCTCCTAAGCAAGGCATAATGTACATAAAGCCTTATAGCACAAAGGAAGGTAGATGTTATTATTAATATATTACTGTTTTTATTATTTCTTATCATAATTTCAGGATGACCTTTAGTTGGAACCTACTTAGTCATAGCTCTAGCCCATCTATATAGTGGTTTTTACTTAACAGTTATTTATTACAAAGTTAGAATACAGTTTCCAGATAAAGAGTGACCTATACAAGCATTTTGTTTGGAAATTCTTTTGTTCACATATCTCGGCCCCTCACTCATGAAAAGGAGAAAGGATATACACACCTCCACAGGTACGTCTGTAAATGAGACTATAGAGGTACAAGTGTTAGATTTTTGTATTGTTTCTTTATTTTTAATTATTAAACATGATTTATGACTTAAAAATCTGTTTTTGAAAAATATTTTTAGAGGCTTTGAATGTGGGACTTCACTCCTGGGTGGATCAACAGGGCACAAGGGACAGGGAGGAGAGCTACCTGGCAGGCAAGCACTTCCAGCAAGCTGTGGGCAAGTGGGCCATGCGGCTTGAGTGGAGCTGTTAATAAAAAAAGAGAAAAGAACAAAAAGAAAAAGAAAAATGGAGTTAGAAAAATGATATAGTTGTATCAAAATAAAAACAAAAATAAAACCTGATGAGAGATAAACTTGGGAGTTAGTTTTTAAATTGTTTCTCTGGCACAGCAGATTAACAAATATTAAAAATGTCTTATAAATAAATGTAAATAATTAACAACTATAAAGTTGATCATATTTAATTTATTTAGTCTCAATGCTTTTTTAATTTGGTAGGAACTTGAAGAGCTAGGTGTTGCTATGTTCATTGCTACTGGGTTGATAAAGCTAAAATTAACAAAACTTTTCTAGTGATTTTTTTTTTCAAGATCACTCATTTACTCTGATAGGAAATCAGAATGCAAGTTTTTTTTTTTTTAACAGATTATTTAACTACTAATCTATGTTTTTAACTTCTAAATGGGATTACTTTTGCTTTGGTTCTTTGCTTTTTGTTTTTGGTTCTTGTCCCAGTATTCTACATTGAAACTTTTGCTACCGACCATTTTGTTTTTGTCACCTTGTCCTCACATTACTATCCAAATTCCAACTAATGTCATCATTACTCACTAGGAAAATTTCATCATGAGCAAACCCTGGCTAGTATARAATTATATGAAAAATCAATTGAGAGGGTTTACCTATTAAGTGAGTTTTGACAGAAAAAAATAGAAAATATTTGTTTTTTTAAAGTTTTAATTGATTTTTAAAAATAAATAACAGGAATGCATTACAATACTTATTACACATATACAGCACAATTTTTCATATCTCTGGTTGTATATAAAGTATGTTCACACCAATATGTGTCTTCATACATGTACTTTAATTATTTGGTTTTGCTGTCTTATTTAGTAAAGGAACTTAGAAACAAAAATCTCTCAAATTGACATATCTGGTTATTGGCCAAACTAAAACAAAAAATAACTAACATTAGATATAAGTATCTTATGTTTTATATACACATCTATTTTCTTCAGGGAATTTATATAGGGTTTATGTTAGTATTTTCACTTTACAGATGAGATCATTTAAGGTCAGTAGGGTCCCAGGAACTGGTATATTTTTATGCAGAATCTAAATCCAGATCYGGTCTATACTCATTGCATTCTGTCTCTTAGTATTATAATGTAAAACTCTTTGCTACCAGTCTAATTTTATGATATCATGAACACACAGTTTCTCTTACTTGCCAAAATTTCAATTTTAGCATTAACATGTATTCAGTAAAAATAGTCCAATAAAAATGTCTAATGAAAAGACTGTTTGGGTAAAATTTCTGCATTGAGCCATAAATAATAAAATACCTAAATCATGTGTGATTGATAAAAGAAAATTGCAGTGTAATATAAACAACTTTTAAGCATTTCAATCAATTAAACTGAGACAATTACTTAACTGAAAAGTGATCAAGAATAAAGGGATAGCACATAATCAAAGCAGGGCCCACCACTTGGCAAGGTCACAAGACAAAGCACAGCAAAGATGAATTAGACCCCATAGAAAGCTAATAGACTTAAGGGCGTTTCTAAACTGCTTTCAGGTGAAGGGTGTAAGGCTTGGGTAGCAGAGAGACAGGCTCTACTGTGAAAACCAGTGACCCTTGAAATAAGTGAGTATACTCCTGCTAATGAACTCCAGGCTTTAAATAGGAAATTTGAATTTTCTCACGCTTCAAACATTCTTTTCATTCTGATTTGACAAGGTCTCTTCCAAGACAAAGGAAAAGAACAACAAAACTGGAAAACTCAAATCACTGGGCTATGTGGTCAAGGAATGTTGTTCTTCAATTTTGMAAATTCAGGGTGGAAGGTCAGCCTTTGTATGTGGGTGAACAGATTGGTGGATATTTCTGCAGCTATTTCCTGCTAGCTATAAAAATCTGCAGTACTGCTCCCATCATGGAACCTTTGTAATGGAATATACTAGACACAGATAAGATTATCACCCTTGTGGTTCACAGTGCTAACCTGGAGAGGGAGTTGATTGGGATCCTTCTTGTTTTTCAACCCTGTGCTTTAGAGTCCAGTCTGCAGTTGGTTGACAGGGTCCAGGGCTGATGGCTACCTATCTTAATAGGGGTTTTGACGGTCTGCATAAAAAGGAAATATCAAAACAAATGACAAAATTCTTGAAACAAATTACATAATTTTAGAAGAATTCAAAATTCTGAGATTCTGTTACACATAATTTCTAATGTGAACTTAACCTAGTTGTAATTGCTATCCTGATGCTTGGGATACCTGTGAAAATGCACAGGACTGGATTGTTACAATGGTGACTCTTCTAGTGAACAAGACAATGGATCCATTCAGGGAAGAATGATGAAACGGCAACTGAAATTTTTAATAATAACTGTGAGAAATATCCCTTTATATCCGTCCTTTTACTTAGAAGAAAGAAGAATTATACTGCCTCTAAAAGTAAAAAATTAAAAACACATTTCAAGTAGCATTTAGTACCACATTCCTACTTGGTTGTGATACTCAATAAGAATCTCTGGGGGCTGGGGATATGGCTTAATTGGTACAGTGCTTGCCTCACATGCACAAGTTCCTCCCAACACCCCCCCACACACACACACACAAAGAATCTCTGGCTAAAATTTATATATGGGAGATAATAGATGAAAAATCAGTGAATCAGTGATTCTATAACTCTTTTCTTAAAGCAACTATTCATCTTAATCTTAAATTCGTTCTAATTTTAAAGTTAAAATTGTGAAGTAAAGGTCTGTATCTAATTTTGTAACTTATCTACTTGTAAATGTTATGTAAAGACAAGGTACTTGTGAAATATCTGCCTGAATTTGGACT